ATCATACCACTGCTTGTTAACAAGAATGTTACCCTACCAGTGCTTGTTAACAAGAACTGTTATCCTACCACTGCTTGTTAACAAGAACTGTTGTCCTACCACTGTTCATTAACAAGTTAAGAACTGCTATCGTAGCACTGCTTGTTAACAAGAACTGTTATCCTACCACTGCTCATTAACATGTTAAGGACTGCTATCGTAGCACTGCTTGTTAACAAGAACTGTTATCCTACCACTGCTTGTTAACAAGAACTGTTATCCTACCACTGCTTGTTAACAAGAGCTGTTATCATACCACTGCTTGTTAACAAGAACTGTTATCATACCACTGCTTGTTAACAAGAATTGTTATCCTACCACTGCTTGTTAACAAGAACTGTTATCATACTACTGCTTGATAACAAGAACTGTTATCATACCACTGCTTGTTAACAAGAACTGTTATCCTACCAGTGCTTGTTAACAAGAACTGTTATCCTACCACTGCTTGTTAACAAGAACTGTTGTCCTACCACTGTTCATTAACAAGTTAAGAACTGCTATCGTAGCACTGCTTGTTAACAAGAACTGTTATCCTACCACTGCTCATTAACATGTTAAGGACTGCTATCGTAGCACTGCTTGTTAACAAGAACTGTTATCATACCACTGCTTGTTAACAAGAACTGTTATCATACCACTGCTTTTTTAACAAGAATTGTTATCCTACCCCTGCTTTTTAAAACAAGAGCTGTTATCATACCACTGCTTGTTAACAAGAACTGTTATACCACTGCTTGTTAACAAGAACTGTTATACCACTGCTTGTTAACAAGAACTGTTATCCTACCACTGCTTGTTAACAAGAGCTGTTATCATACCACTGCTTGTTAACAAGAACTGTTATCATACCACTGCTTGTTAACAAAAATTTGTTATCCTACCATGCTTGTTAACAAGAACTGTTATCATACTATGCTTTGATAACAAGAAATGTTATCATACCATTGCTTGTTAACAAGAACTGTTATCCTACCAGTGCTTGTTAACAAGAACTGTTACCCTACCACTGCTTGTTAACAAGAACTTTTGTCCAAACCACTGTTCATTAAAAATTTTAAGAACTGCTATCGTAGCACTGCTTGTTAACAAGAACTGTTATCCTACCACTGCTCATTAACATGTTAAGGACTGCTATCGTAGCACTGCTTGTTAACAAGGGAACTGTTATCCTCCACTGCTTGTTAACAAGAGCTGTTATCATACCACTGCTTGTTAACAAGAACTGTTATCATACCACTGCTTGTTAACAAGAATTATCCTACCACTGCTTGTTAACAAGAACTGTTATCATACTACTGCTTGATAACAAGAACTGTTATCATACCACTGCTTTTTTAACAAAACTGTTATCCTACCATTTGCTTGTTAACAAGAACTGTTATCCTACCACTGCTTGTTAACAAGAACTGTTGTCCTACCACTGTTCATTAACAAGTTAAGAACTGCTATCGTAGCACTGCTTGTTAACAAGAACTGTTATCCTACCACTGCTCATTAACATGTTAAGGACTGCTATCGTAGCACTGCTTGTTAACAAGAACTGTTATCATACCACTGCTTGTTAACAAGAACTGTTATCATACCACTGCTTGTTAACAAGAATTGTTATCCTACCACTGCTTGTTAACAAGAGCTGTTATCATACCACTGCTTGTTAACAAGAACTGTTATACCACTGCTTGTTAACAAGAACTGTTATACCACTGCTTGTTAACAAGAACTGTTATCCTGCCACTGCTTGTTAACAAGAACTGTTATCCTACCACTGCTTGTTAACAAGAACTGTTATCCTACCACTGCTTGTTAACAAGAACTGTTATCATACCACTGCTTGTTAACAAGAATTGTTATCCTCCCACTGCTTGTTAACAAGAACTGTTATCATACCACTGCTTGTTAACAAAAACTGTTATCAAAACCACGCTTGTTAACAAGAATGTTATCCCACTGCTTGTTAACAAGAATTGTTATCCTCCCACTGCTTGTTAACAAGAACTGTTATCATACCACTGCTTGTTAACAAGAACTGTTATCATACCACTGCTTGTTAACAAGAACTGTTATCCTACCACTGCTTGTTAACATGTTAAGGACTGCTATCGTAGCACTGCTTGTTAACAAGAACTGTTATCCTACCACTGTTCACTAACAAGTTAAGAACTGCTATCGTAGCACTGCTTGTTAACAAGAACTGTTACCCTCCCACTGCCCATTACATTTTAAAGGACTGCTATCGTAGCACTGTTTGGGTTAACGGGAAAACTGTTATCATACACCTGCTTGTTAACAAGAACTTTTAAATCCTCCACTGCTTGTTAACAAGAACTGTTATCCTACCCACTGCTTGTTAACAATAACTGTTATCCTACCACTGCTTGTTAACAAGAACTGTTATCCTACCACTGCTTGTTAACAAGAACTGTTATCCTACCAGTGCTTGTTAACAAGAACTGTTATCCTACCACTGCTTGTTAACAAGAACTGTTATCCTACCACTGCTTGTTAATAAAAAACTGTTATCCTACCACTGCTTGTTAACAAGAATTTGTTATCCTACCAGTGCTTGTTAACAAGAACTGTTATCCTACCACTGCTTGTTAACAAGAACTGTTATCCTACCACTGCTTGTTAACAAGAACTGTTGTCATACCACTGTTCATTAACAAGTTAAGAACTGCTATCGTAGCACTGCTTGTTAACAAGAACTGTTACCCCACCACTGCTCATTAACATGTTAAGGACTGCTATCGTAGCACTGCTTGTTAACAAGAACTGTTACCCTACCACTGCTCATTAACATGTTAAGAACTGCTATCGTAGCACTGCTTGTTAACAAGAACTGTTATCCTACCACTGCTCATTAATTAACAAGAACTGTTATCTTACCACTTCTCATTTACAAGTTAAGAGCTGTTATCCTACCACTGCTCATTAATTAACAAGAACTGTTATCTTACCACTGCTCATTTACAAGTTAAGAACTGCTATCCTACCACTGCTCATTAACAAGAACTGCTATCCTACCACTTCATTAACAAGAACTATTATCCTACCACTGCTCATTAACAAGAACTATTATCCTACCACTGCTCATTAACAAGTTAAGAACTGCTATCCTGCCACTGCTCATTAACAAGAACTGCTATCCTGCCACTGCTCATTAACAAGAACTGCTATCCTGCCACTGCTCATTAACAAGAACTGCTATCCTGCCACTGCTCATTAACAAGAACTGCTATCCTGCCACTGCTCATTAACAAGTTAAGAACTGCTATCCTACCACTGCTCATTAACAAGAACTGCTATCCTACCACTACTCATTAACAAGTTAAGAACTGTTATCCTACCACTGCTCATTAAGCGCCTTCAAGTATCTCCTCATCTAACATCTCTGGTTTTTTAAATGCCAAGTCAGTTTGTTCCTCAGACTTTTTAAATTTTTAAGCCTCCAAAACTGTTTCTTATTCCCCACAAAGCTTGCTGCTAGGCGACCCTCTTCCCCCTCCCATTTTCCCAATTCTCTCACTGGATCGTCTTTTACACTTCTCTACTATTTTAGTCTCTGCTTTTTTCTTCTTATACTCCGCTTTCTGTGTATCATTTTTCCATTGTGAAAACCTCTCATAAGCTCTTTTTTTTTTCCCAACCCTACCACCCTCTTTATCATTCCACCAGTTTTTCTCCTTTACACTCGCACCCTCCCTCCTTTACCCACAAACTTGTTTAACACTTCATCACTTCGTTCTGAAATCTACTTCTTGCCTCTTCGTCCTCCTACTGATTACGTGTACTCTCTGGAAAACCTTTTTTTTTTTTCAAATAGTTGCTTCTATCTCCCGTCTTTTTATATCTGGTTCATTCACTCTCCCTTCTCTATTCTTACCCACTGATGTCATTATCCTTATACTCCATCTACCTCTTAATCACACTGTAGATGCCACTAGAGTGACCTGATTTACCAGTTGCACCTCTTACAACACTCACTAGTCTGCCCACCAAGCTTGTATCCGTCATGAGAGAAGTAAGCGGTGAAATTTAACTTTATAAGAATGCAATTAGAAGCCTGAGTAAATCTACCATCCTCTGTGATAAAATGAACGTAAATAAATACATTTATGGAGCAACTTGGAATATGAGCAGTGACTGATGTTGTTGTAGCCAGGCTTAGGCTTGGTTACAAGTGTTTCTGGCAGTTTGGTAGACACAGATTATAGTCAAACCAAATGCCAAGTATGTGGCCACCGCTATGGTCGTTATCTTGAACTATGTGCTTAATTGTCTACTTTATGAGGAATACATAGTATAATAACCTACGTAAGTGATGTGTCACTGTATCTTATTAATGAAAATAAGATACCAGGACATATTAAGTAAATTTCCTAAATTTGCTTGCAGCACATAAGTCAACTATATTATATATATATATATATTATATATATTATATATATATATATATATATATATATATATATATTATATATTATATATATATATATATATAATATAAATCCAAATGTACGTCTCAACCTTTTTGGGTAACCTAGTTCCTAGGCCTTTTGTGTATCCATATGCTCTTGCGCTACCTACTGCAGGATGGATATGGGGTGCACAGCAAATTAGCCACTTTGGCGACAAAATTTGAATCTAAAATATATTGCTATATCTATTTCTAAATTAAATTTTACCTTTTACAATGCCTAACTCTAAAACATATCTTACTTTTTTCTAAAACAAATATTACCTATTACCATGCCTATTTCTAAAACAATCTATCCTATTGCCATGCCTATTTCTAAAACAAATCTTACGTATTGCCATGACTATTTGTAAAATTTATCTTCCCTATTACCATGCCCATTTCTATACATAATTCAGTTTCAGAATTGTTTCTCAATCGTTATAGTTGGCATCATTACCCGTTGTTACAATTACTATCTCCCTTTATTTTTACACGACAGATATGACAGAAAGGATACGAGAGAACAGGGAACATGGACAGGCAGCAGAGGTGTCTAGACGACACATGGAACATGGGCAGGCAGCACAGGTGTCTAGATGACACAAGGAACATGCACAAGTAGCAGAGGTGTCTATACGACACAGGGAACGTGGACGTAGGCAGAATTATTGGGGAAGCGTTAATCCTGTAGGAGTCATGCAGTGGCTGGGGAATAACAGGCAATGAGCCTTGATTCGAGGGATGGGAGAGTGAAATTTTTCTCGTTGTGTCAATAAGTAATATTAAATTTTTATTGTTTATGAGGAGACCTAAATCGTATTTAGCACTCTTTATATGTGTTATGTTATGTAGATTTAACCTAGAATGACTCAGGAAAGTATAAAAAATAATTGACTTTATTTCCAATGATGTAGTTTCCTTCCTGCTGGAGGAAGTTTGACCTCGGCGCTTCTGCGAATTTCCTTGGCTGTGAGTGAGACGGGAATCCTGGAATGTCTCAGCGCCAGTAATGACAACTCTGGGAGATGTGCTGACAAGAGTATAAATCTGGGAGATGCCCTGGCAATAGCAGAAAACTGGGAGATGGGCTGGTAACAGCAGAAATCTGGGAGATGCGTTGGCAAGAGTAGAATTCTGGGAGATGCGCTGGCAACAGCAAAAATCTGGGAGATGCGCTGGCAACAGCAAAAATCTGGGAGATGCGCTGGTAACAGCAGAAATCTAGGAGATGCGCTGGTAACAGCAGAAATCTGGGAGATGCGCAGGTAACAGCAAAAATCTGGGAGATGCGCTGGTAACAGCAGAAATCTGGGAGGGAGCGGTAGTTATAGTTAGGAAAGTTGCAGATGCGGTTGAATGCAGACAAATGTAAGGTTCTAATCCGAGGAAAAGAAAATAGCCTAAATAATGTAGATCTTAGTCAAATTGAGTGCGAAAAAAATAGGAGTTTTGTTTAGTAGTAATCTAATGCCAAGACAACAGTGCGTAAGTGTTCACAATAAAGCTAATAGAATTCTTAGTTTCTTATCAAGACAGATAATAGAAGTCCTCAGGTCATACTTCAACTTTATATATCTTTGGTAAGCTCTATTTAGATCATGCTACTCAGTTCTGGTCTCCCTATTATAGGATGGACATTACACTAGATGTACAGAGAAGGATGACGAAGTTGATCCCATGTATCAGAATCCTTTCCTACGAGGATAGACTGAATTCACTAACTTGCACTCTCTGGAAAGACGTGGAATTTGGGGATATGAAAAGTGCACAAATAAATAAAGGGGATATAAATATGGTGCTAAAAATGTCTAGCCAAGACAGGACTCGCAACACTGATTTCAAATTGGAGAAATTTAGATTTAGAAAGGCTATAGGGAACTACTGGTTTGGTAATCGAGTTGTGGATGAGTGGAACAAACCCCCAGGTAGTGTCATTGAAGCGGATAGCTTTAAACATAGATTGGACGTGTATATGAGTGGGTGAGAGTTAAACCTGCCTAGCTTTTAGCCAGTAGGCCTACTGCAGTGTTCCTTCATTCTTGTGTAACTAAAGAAATATGTGGAAGGATCTCTGGTAACAACAGAAATCTAGAAGGTTAAGTGGTAACAGCAGTAGTCTAGGAGCAGTGGTAATACTTGTAGTCTAGGAGCAGTGGTAATACTTGTAGTCTAGGAGGAGCAGTGGTAACAGCAGTAGTCTAGGGTGGTAACAGCAGTGGTCTAAGAAGAGCTGTGATAAAAGCAGGGGAAAAAACTAAATTCTGCTGGTATGCTGCCACTGGATAGATGCTTGCTTCTTCACTGTCACAGTATTTAAACTTGACTGTCTCCTCTCTCCTCGCCTCTGCTATCTTATCCCGTCTCTCTGAACATTTATATATGCCACGTGAACTCTTAAACCACCATAAATAATGATAAGGTCACTAAAAAGTATTTTACACATCGGAGACAACCTGTGTCCCCCCAACTCTTGTCTGTGGCAGTGACGTCACAAGCCTAAATATAAACATTAGAATCCATATTTAACACGAGGCTCTATTAATTTTAACCAGGATGACATAATACATTAATAATTGGGCTTAAGGCGCTTTATTTTATGGAATTGTATTGATTAGAAAATATATTGATAACAAGGATAATGATAATCCAAATAATTATTAAAGAGAAAATAAAGGAAGTGAATGCGAATTATGATTATAGGGTAACTTGAATTAATAATAATGTTAATAATGTTGTCATTACTAAATTTATTACAAGATCACTAACAATATTTACCATTAATAATTTTTTTAATCAACAATTGGTAGGCTTCATTGTGTGGCTGCCCTGACTTGTATGACATTATTATACAAGGTTAGAGCAAGAGTGAACTATGCTTGCCTTACACACCAATGTACTACCTGGTCTTCACACAATGATTTTGCTGATTTAGTTCAACTTGAATAATTACAGGTCTGAGGTTGTTTATATAGCGTGTCACTATCACACAGGATGGTATTTTAAGTTCATCATGAATCATTGTAGCAGGTGTATTATATTCATTACAAATGATGAGTGTACGGCAGGGGATTACAATATAAATTTCGAACTATTGAATGGGTAATTAATTATTTCATACAAGTTTATTTTGGATTCACATCTAATCCTCAATTCTAAAAGGAAAGTTTTTAGATACTAAGCCAGTGGTTCCGAAACTTTTTTTTCAGGCTGCCGCCCCTTTGTCTCCCAGGACACATCCCTAGCGCCCCTCCTCCCCACACATACAAATACACCTCTTTCTTGGTATTAGGTTTACTGCAAATTCAAAACAACTAATCTAACGCTATAAACAAACGTATTTATTTCACAAATAAAAATTAACATAGTAAACCAATTTATTTAACATGATTTATATTGTGCCATATAGATTTTGTAAAACAAACGCTAATTATACACATCTCCAGAGAATGTAAGTTCGGTGCCTTCTGCCTGTCTTTCTTTGTAGAAAAAGTTTTCTGATATATGGGATTAACTTCATCATTCTGTGTTTTCCAGCACATTTATGTACATTCTGTAATATGTGGACCAGAACTGAACAGCATGATCTAAATGAGGCCTTACTAAGGATATATGAAAATGAAGTGTAACCCAGGGGCGTATCACCCAGGAGGGGATGCTAAAGCGAAGCTAGTTAGAACCCCAGGACTAACCTCTCTCCCCCTAGGGATAAAATACCTCTAGGATAAAAGCCCCCAGTAAAAGTGCAAAATATGGTAAAAAAAAAATCACTTTTTTAGCTGGTTATTAGTTTGGTTAGCTTTGGTATGTTTGGTTAGGCTAGGAAATACTGATTCTTGAGTATTGTGGACGAGTGGAGCAAACTGAGAAGTAGAGTCATTGAAGACAACAGCTTAGGTAGCCTTAGGTGCCTTCTGAGTATCTTGTGTGTCGCAATTATGTCTACCCTGGTCCTTTTTTTGCGCTTCTAACGTCATATGGATCATTTTCCTTTAGTCTCTAGTTATAGACATTTTTTCTCTGTACCGGGACAAATCTTGTTGCGAGGCTCTACACTTTCTCCAGTTTCTTGATATGCCTTGTTAGCTGTGAGCTTCACGATGGTGCTGCATACTCCAAAGTAAGCCTGATGGCGAGTCATTCTTTGTTGAGGCTCCGGAGAGCTGTTACTTAATTTGTTAAAAGTGCATCTGCCTCAGAAGTTAGTCAGTTTGATGTTTTCCTCTGGTGATAGGTTTGGGACTATGCTCACTCCTATGTCCTTCACATTGAGTAAAGGTTGCAACTCCTGCCCCCAGTCTGTACTCTGTTTTCAGTCTTCTTTCCCCTTCCTCAGTTTTCATAGCTTTGCTGTTTCTGAGGTTGAATTCCAGTAGCCACTTGTTTGAACCCTACTGGGTTCTGCCTCTACTGCTTTGATCCACATGAACACCTCTGCTGTGATTCCTCTTTTCATTTCTAGTTTTTGGTCCAATCTCTAGTGCAGTACAGCATCGAATGTCTTCTTGCAACCCTGGAATATACAGTCCCTCTTATTCCTATTTATTTCTGTTAATCTGTGATAGAAGTCCAGCTGGTCTGTGAGACAGTTTGCCATCTCTGAAGCCTGTGTTTAGGAAGCTGCTCTTCTGGTGCTCCGCTTTTCTATACAACACAATACAACTTTATTTCTGTTTTGCAGTATACAAAATGTAGTTTACATGTAATAAAATATTGTTAAGCACATGATTTTTGTCCCATTTCATTACATTATATACGTGTCAAGGTTTCTTGGCTTGCCTGTAGTTTAAGGCTGCCTCCCTGTCTCTTAAATGTTTGGACTACATTTGTTGTCTTTCGTACCTCCGGCAGTTGCCCTGTTTACACTGACTTGTATATTATAGCTAGCAGTTGATGATACAGAAATTTGCAGTCAGGTTTCAACAGTCTTGCGGTGGGCAGTAGAAAATTAGTGTTCAGTGGTGATGAATTTCAACTACTCAGATATGTAAAGAATGGAGAACTCCAAACTTTGAGTCAAAATGAGCATAGAAAAAAAAAAAACGAGGACCATCTCACAGGACGAAAGCAATGCCATTGCTGACACTGATCAAATCACTTGTGTACCACTGTTTAGCATATTATTTGGTGTTGACGGCTCCTTCCAAGGCAGGAAATGTATCAGAGCTGGGAAAGGTAGAGAGGTCGTTTACTGCTGCACACAGCCAGCAAATCATTTAAGTTACCAACGAACCACAGCAGGGCTGTGGTTTGTACGTCGGTTTACGTTCGGCCAACAGTAACAGCCTGGTTAATCAGGCCCTGATCCATCACCAGGCCATGTCACGGACCGGGCCGCGGGGGCATTGACCCCTAAACCCCCTCCAGGTATCACCATGTACATGGAAAAATTTAAAAGCACATGCAGTATAATTGACATAACGTTATATTAATGGTGACATTATTTAGTTCTATACAAAATTAAATATAACATGTATTTTCCTGAAAATTGTATTAAATTATATCGATAACATAGAAATATCAGTACTTGGAAACACAAGGTTATGACACACGAGACAAACACAAGGTTATGACACGAGACAAACACAAGGTTATGACATACACGAGACAAACACAAGGTTATGACACACGAGACAAACACAAGGTTATGACACACGAGACAAACTCAAGGTTATGACACACACGAGACAAACTCAAGGTTATGGCGCACACGAGACAAACACAAGGTTATGACACACGAGACAAACTCAAGGTTATGACACACACCAGACAAACACAAGGTTATGGCACACACGAGACAAACTCAAGGTTATGACACGAGACAAACACAAGGTTATGACACGAGGCAAACACAATGTTATGACACACACCAGACAAACACAAGGTTATGGCACACACGAGACATACACAAGGTTATGACACACGAGACAAACACAAGGTTATGACACACACGAGACAAACACAAGGTTATGACACACGAGACAATCATAAGGTTATGACACACGAGACAAACACAAGGTTATGACACGAGACAAACACAAGGTTATGACACACGAGACAAACAAAAGGTAATGACACACAAGACAAACACAAGGTTATGACACACACGAGACAAACACAAGGTTATGACACACACGAGACAAACACAAGGTTATGACACAAACAAGACAAACACAAGGTTATGACAAACACACGAGACAAACACAAGGTTATGACATACGAGACAAACAAGTTTATGACACACGAGACAAACACGAGGTTATGACACACGATACAAACTCAAGGTTATGACACACGAGCCAAACATAAGGTTATGACACACGAGACAAACAAGGTTATGACACATGAGACAAACACAAGGTTATGACACGAGACAAACATAAGGTTGTGACACACGAGACAAACTCAAGGTTATGACACACGAGCCAAACATAAGGTTATGACACACGAGACAAACAAGGTTATGACACATGAGACAAACACAAGGTTATGACACGAGACAAACATTAGGTTGTGACACACGAGACAAACTCAAGGTTATGACACACACGAGACAAACACAAGGTTATGACACACACGAGACAAACTCAAGGTTATGACACACACGAGACAAACTCAAGGTTATGACACACGCGAGACAAACTCAAGGTTATGACACACACGAGACAAACACAAGGTTATGACACACGAGACAAACACAAGGTTAGGACACACGAGACAAACACAAGGTTATGACACACGAGACAAACACAAGGTTATGACACACGAGACAAACTCAAGGTTATGACACTCACGAGACAAACATGAGGTTATGACACACACGAGACAAACACAAGGTTATGACACACGAGACAAGCACAAGGTTATGACACACGAGACAAACTCAAGGTTATGACACACGAGACAAACTCAAGGTTATGACACACACGAGACAAACACAAGGCTATGACACACACGAGACAAACACAAGGTTATGACACACGAGAGAAACACAAGGTTATGACACACACGAGACAAACACAAAGTTATGACACCCGCGAGACAAACTTAAGGTTATGACACACGAGACAAACACAAAGTTATGACACACGAGACAAACACAAGGGTATGACACACGAGACAAACACAAGGTTATGACACACGAGACAAACACAAGGTTATGACACACGAGACAAACACAAGGTTATAACACACACGAGACAAACACAAGGTTATAACACACACGAGACAAACATAAGGTTATAACACACACGAGACAAACATAAGGTTATGACACACACGAGACAAACACAAGGTTATGACACACGAGACAAACACAAGGTTATGACACACGAGACAAACACAAGGTTATGACACACACGAGACAAACACAAGGTTATGACACACACGAGACAAACTCAAGGTTATGACACACATGAGACAAACTCAAGGTTATGACACACGAGACAAACACAAGATTATGACACACACGAGACAAACACAAGGTTATGACACACGAGAGAAACTCAAGGTTATGACACACACGAAACAAACACATGGTTATGACACACTCGAGACAAACACAAGGTTATGACACACACGAGACAAACACAAGGTTATGACACACGAGACAAACACAAGGTTATGGCACACGAGACAAACACAGGGTTATGACACACACGAGACTAACACAAGGTTATGACACACGAGACAAACACAAGGTTATGATCTCAGTAGTAGTAACCAGTTACCAGTAACCAGTGTACCAGTAGATGACTCACTACCAACCGTCTCTGCCTGAGTCACTGTCTGTATTCATATTGTGCTGACCACAGCAGTATTTCAAAGACCCCCTCACATATGGGTACTGTGGGCGGTCAGTTATACGAGAGTGAGCAAGGAGGCAGGTTCACGGCTGTTAGGGCGCTTCACACATTATCCGTAATTATACGTACTTCCAGCCTACGTGAGTATTACTTTTCCCTATCCACGTGTTCGAACCCCCACATGATAAATGGTGGCAGCGGTGGGATTGAACTCTTGGATAGTCAGTAACCAGTTACCAGTAACCAGTGTACCAGTAGATGACTCACTACCAACCGTCTCTGCCTGAGTCACTGTCTGTATTCATATTGTGCTGACCACAGCAGTATTTCAAAGACCCCCTCACATACGGGTACTGTGGGCGGTCAGTTATACGAGAGTGAGCAAGGAGGCAGGTTCACGGCTGTTAGGGCGCTTCACACATTATCCGTAATTATACGTACTTCCAGCCTACGTGAGTATTACTTTTCCCTATCCACGTGTTCGAACCCCCACATGATAATGACACACACGAGACAAACACAAGGTTATGACACACGAGACAAACATAAGATTATGACACACGAGACAAACACAAGGTTATGACACACGAGACACACAAGGTTATGACACACGAGACAAACACAAGGTTATGACACACGAGACAAACACAAGGTTATGACACACGAGACAAACATAAGGTTATGACACACCAGACAAACAGGGTTATGACACACGAGACAAACAAAAGATTATGACACTAGACAAACACAAGGTTATGACACCCACGAGACAAACATAAGGTTATGACACACGAGACAAACACAAGGTTATGACACACGAGACAAACACAAGGTTATGACACACGAGACAAACACAAGGTTATGACACGAGACAAACACAAGGTTATGACACACACGAGACAAACATAAGGTTATGACACACGAGACAAACTCAAGGTTATGACACACGAGACAAACACAAGGTTATGACACTCCCGAGAGAAACTCAAGGTTATGACACACGAGACAAACTCAAGGTTATGACACACACGAGACAAACAGAAGGTTATGACACACACGAGACAAACTCAAGGTTATGACACACGAGACAAACACAAGGTTATGACACACGAGACAAACACAAGGCTATGACACGAGACAAACACAAGGTTATGACACACACGAGACAAACATAAGGTTATGACACACGAGAGAAACTCAAGGTTATGACACACACGAGACAAACACAAGGTTATGACACACACGAGAGAAACTCAAGGTTATGACACACACGAGACAAACACAAGGTTATGACACACACGAGACAAATACAACGTTATGACACACGAGAGAAATACAACGTTTTGACACACGAGACAAACACAAGGTTATGATACGAGACAAACACAAGGTTATGACACACACGAGACAAACACAAGGTTATGACACACGAGACAAACTCAAGGTTATGACACACACGAGACAAACAAAGTTATGACACACGAGACAAACACAAGGTTGACACACACGAGACAAACACAAGGTTATGACACACGAGACAAACTCAAGGTTATGACACACGAGACAAACTCAAGGTTATGACACTAGACAAACTCAAGGTTATGACACGAGACAAACACAAGGTTATGACACACACGAGACAAACACAAGGTTATGACACACGAGACAAACTCAAGGTTATGACACACACGAGACAAGCAAGGTTATGACACACGAGACAAACACAAAGTTGACACAGACGAGACAAACACAAGGTTATGACACACACGAGACAAACTCAAGGTTATGACACACGAGACAAACTCAAGGTTATGACACACACGAGACAAACACAAGGTTATGACATACACGAGACAAACACAAGGTTATGACACACGAGACAAACTCAAGGTTATGACACACACGAGACAAACACAATGTTATGGCACACACGAGACAAACACAAGGTTACGACACACACGAGACAAACTCAAGGTTATGACACACGAGACAAACTCAAAGTTATGACACACGTGACAAACTCAAGGTTATGACACACACGAGACAAACACAAGGTTATGACATACACGAGACAAACACAAGGTTATGACACACGAGACAAACTCAAGGTTATGACACACACGAGACAAACACAAGGTTATGACACACGAGACAAACACGAGGTTATGACATACACGAAACAAACACAAGGTTATGACATACACGAGACAAACACAAGGTTATGACATACACGAGACAAACACAAGGTTATGACACACACCAGACAAACACAAGGTTTTGACAACACACCAGACAAACACAAGGTTATGACACACACCAGACAAACTCAAGGTTATGACACGAGACAAACACAAGGTTATGACACGAGACAAACACAAGGTTATGACACACACGAGACAAACACAAGGTTATGACATACACGAGACAAACACAAGTTTATTACACACACCAGACAAACACAAGCTTATGACACACACGAGACAAACTGAAGGTTATAACACGAGACAAACACAAGGTTATGACACGAGACAAACACAAGGTTATGACATACACGAGATAAACACAAGGTTATGACATACTCGAGACAAACAAGGTTATGACACACA